ACTTAGGAAGCATAGGTAGGAGGATCACAGTCTGAAGCTGGACAGGCAAAAAGAGAGAGACAGAAACAGAATAGGAAATTCTGAATTTCAGAAATTCAGAAATAAACTCCAGCCAAATGATTTTTGGTAAAGGCATCAAGAACACATATGTAGGAAAGGAAATTCTCTTAAATAAATAGTGCTGGGAAAGCCGAATGTTCAAATGTAAAAGAATAGCATTAGACTCCTGTCTTTCTCCATGTATAAAAAATAAACTGAAAGTGAATTAAAGGCTTAAATGTAAACCTCCAAAATATAAAACTACTAAAAGAAGTGCAGAAGACATACTCTGGGACATTGGTCTGGGTAAGAATGCTTTACACAAGAACTTAAAAGCACAGGAAATGTCAGGGAGAGATGGTTGAATTCAGGGCTTCAAGCTTGCTAAGCAGGCATTTGAGCCACACTTCCAGTCCCTTTTGGTCTGGTTTTGTTGGAGATGGGTTCTCTTGAACTATTTGCCTGACCTGGCCGTGAATCTAGATCATTCCTGGTCTCAGGCTCCCAAGTAGCTAGGATTACATGTGTGATCCATGGCACCTGTCACTAACGGCACATTTTTAAAGTGAATATTTGGAATGTATTTCCTATTTTCTCCCTTGAAAAGAAAAGAAATGTTGAGGTGACTTAATTCAGTGCTTTTATTTAAAATAGGTAATAGTTTTATGGGATTTTTTTCTCCTTTCATTTTGAACGATGTTGATTCATGTGTAAAACTAGATGTTTTTCTGGTATTCCAAAAGGCTTATTACATATTTTTTAATTTTTGAGATAATTCTGTTTAAAGGTCACCAAAGAAGGAATTTTTGTTAACTGTTGGATTGAATTAAACACAATCTATGTATTACTTTTTTAAAAAGTACAGGCAAACAAAATAGAATAGACAAGAGTCCATCAAACTAAAAAGCTTCTGTATGGCAAAAGAAATAATCAACTGAGTAAAAAGATAGCCAACAGAATGGGAGAAAAAATTTTCAAATTAACAAGTTATCAAAATCAGTCATATTAATTAAAATACGTAAGTTATTCAAAAACTCAACAGTGAAAAAAACAGCAAATAACTTAATTTAAAAATGGCAAATTATCTGAATACGTATTTCCCAAAAGAAGATATGAAAATGAGCAGCAAATATTTGAAAATGCTCTGTATCACCGGTCATCAGGGAAGTATAAATCAAAGCTACAATGAGATATCATTTCAACCTAGTTAGAATGCCATAATCAAAAATTACAAATTCAGGTGAGAATGTGGAAAAAGGGTAACTTTTATACACTGCTGGTGAGAATGTAAATTAGCATAGCAATTATGGAAAATGGTATGGAAATTCCTAAAACAAGAACTACATCTATCATATTACCCAGTGATCTCATGCTGGGCTTTTATCCAAAGGAAAAGAAACCAAAATATCAAAGAGGTACAGACACTGCCATTCTTAACAACACAGTATTCACAATAGCCTAGATATGGAATCAATGAACATGTCTATTGATAGATGAATAGAGAAAGAAAATGTGGTAAATATACATAATGGAATACTATTCAGTCATAAAAGACAAAAATCTCACTATTTGTGGCAGCATTGGTAGAACTGGAGATCATAATGTTAAGTGAAATAAGACAAGCACAGAAAGATAAGGACAACATGATTTTACTCATATACAGACTGTGAAATATCTGAGTTCTTAGAACTAGTAAGTGGAAGAGTGGTTTCCAGAGGCTGGGGATGGGAGAGAACATGAAGAATAGATAGAGATTGGTTAATTGGCACAAATTCACAGCCATAGAGGAATATTTTCTATTGTCCAGAGGTTGATTGCAGTTCATGATATTGTACCATATAGTCCCAGATATCTAGAAGAGAGGATTTGGGGTACTCTCATCACAAAGAAATAATGATGAGATGATGGATAACCTAAGTAACTTTAGCTGATCAATACATAATGTGTAAATATGCTATGTTATAGTATATTCATAGTGATGTATAATTATCTGTAATTAAAACAATCAAACTTATAGTGATTTATTCATTCATTGAATTTACTGTAGTGAATTTTGCTATCAATAGAACTTTTTAAATAAATATATATTTTCTGAATAACTGCTCTATGGCTTATACTCAGGAGGCTAGGAAAATCAATGAAACACAATCCTTGCTTTGTGTAGTTTTAATGTGCTTATGGAGTTTGAAACAATTAGAGAATAATAATATCTTGCATACAAGAATAATAATTTATATCCATATATCATAAGTTGTCCATTATTCCTTTCCCCTTACCTTTTCAATTTCACTTTTCATCTTGTTTTGTTCCTAAATTTTATGTACATTTTATGAAAATGTAACATATATAAAGTCTACAAATCACAATGTTAGGTATACCTGAATTTATCAAATGACACACCTGTATCCACAACCAGCTTAGAACATTATTCACCCTCTTGCCTGAGAGGCCATTGATCTGACTTCTATACCTATGCATTGATTTTGCCAGTCTTTAATATTTATGAATAGAATTACACATTATATAAAGTTTTGGCTTGTTTCACTCAAACTATGTTTGTGAGATTTACTCATGTTATAAAATGCTGTCATTTTCACTCCTCTATGGATTTAAATTATGTGATATGAATGTACTTTAATTTTTTTGTTCTATTATTAATGAATGTTTAGGTTAATTTCAGGTTTGGGCTATAATGGAAAGTACTGTACCTTTGGAACATATGAATTGTTTATGTTAGCAGTGGAATTGCTTGGTCACAGTATAATGTTGTAGATGGATTATTCAGCCATAGTTCTTTATCCTTTCTAAGTGCTCTGCTGTGCATCTCTACTCCAACACTTTTGGTTTGATATTGGAGTTTATATCAACCAAAGCACAATAAAGTGATAGCCAGTTCTAAGCCTCATCTAAAGGAAGCAATACAGGTATTCTATCATCACTATGAGAAGACCTTTCTCCAAGTACCTTCTGTCCTTTTACCCTGGACTCTAAAATGAACAGACCTGGCATAGATCTGATCCCATCCTATCCAAAGGGCCAAACAAAGAGATATGCAGCTTGAAGCAGACCCATCATTCTAAGCTCTGCTTGATCAGACAACCTCAAGTCCACCTACAGACACATAAGCAGGATTTTTTTATTTTGGTAAAACCAAGCTAACATCTTTCCTATAGTAAGAAGGAGCCCGGAAGCTCCCAAACTCCTCTCCTCATAGGTGGTGTCAACTTTATCTGAACTAATAAAGCTAAAATCCTTGGATTAAAAATTGTAATGAACTCACATTCTCATTCAATTGTCTTAATTAATTAAGGAACAATTTAAGGACATTTTGGACATTGTTTTCTATGAACGAAGGATAATCGGCGACCTAAACTTTAACCTAGGAACACACATTGCCAAATTGTGTATAGTCTGTAAAACAACATAGAACTTGAGATATTAAAAAAAAATCTATACTGGCCTAAGGAGAATTCATCTCAGCCTTCTATCATTCCTCTTTTGTTGTTATTCCTCTATTTTGGAAATTTTCCCTGTTCTTCAATCTTAGATTTTCTTTTTCCTTTGTTCTCTGAATATTCTCCATTCTAATCTATCCTTTTAGTCTCTTAATATAAAATATATAACAATATAAATTCTTGAAATTCATCATAATTTATAATAATAATATTGTCTCAAAAGTGTCAAATACATATTTTGATCCAAAATAGTGGGATAGACACTCTAAGGCATTTCCTCATTTAATGCTTCCAATGATCCTATTTTATTCATTCCTAACTTATAGAATTTGATATATTGGTTTATATTTACATAGCAAGTATGTGAGGAAACTTAGTGTTAAAACCATAGTATCTATTTCCCAAGCAAGAGTTATTAAATTGCATGCTACTTAAGGAAAAACTGAGAAATGAAAATTTGCATTAGTATCATATGATTCAGTTGCTTTATTGAAATACATTTTAAACAAAAGCACAGAATACTCAGGCAAGTATACATGATGCACCCATCTTGCAAGAAATTTGGCCATTTGTTGCTCTGAGATATGAAGGAAAGAAAGGACTTTGCTCTTTATTGTACTCTTTATGGTACTTAGTGTAGTGATTTGCACATTGTAGAAGTAATGAAAACAACAACTCGGCCCTGGAATGACCAGTTCACTTTCATACTATATCTAACATTAATTAAGTTCAATCCTAGTTTATGGAAGGAAGAAAGGGACGTTAAGGAAAGGTGAAAGGAAACTAATTTTTGGTGCCTTCTGTCCTAAAAGGGTAGAATTATTTCATATCAACTACTCTGTTTAGCCCTTACAATGACACATGAGGAGGTATAGCTCTCATTTTACATAAGAAGCAACTGGCAATAAAAATGGTTGAATCTGGCCCAAGGTACTCAGCTAGAAAATGATCTGGATCAGGATTCAAGCCCTACTGTTTATGTGGGTTTTCTACTCTTCCATCAACCACGTAGAATATTAACCTCTCATCTCATTTTTCCATAAGTGAATTCATATTGTCTTTGTCTAGAAATAATCCATTGCAAATATTTCTTTTTAAATTTCAAAATAAACATATTTGGAAGCACTCAGAGACTTAGCTAATATTCTCCACTGTTTCTTTCAGTTTAGGAGAAGTATCAGTAGTCTGGACCTTCTCAAAAAGATAATGTAGCATTTGTAGTGTTGATCCCAGAAAAGTGACTTGTGCAGCTCATGAAAATATCATAGTTTCAGTCTTTGAAAGTCTGTGTGTTCACATGACATTATGGAGATCAACTGGTGTAACTTCTATTCTGGATATAGGCTAATCATGACGAAGAAATTTCTAATAAAAAAGAATCAAGTTTACTTGAGTCTTTAATTCTTTTTTTGTTAAGGAGTTCTAGAAAATGGATGGACATATTTAGAGGATAGAAGTCCTATCCAGGATATTTTCAAGAGTATAATTTCTAATCTGACAGCTGACTTACATGGTTTTGGGAAAGGAGTATCTACTCAAAACCTTGTTCAGAGCTGTCTTCACTTCTTTATTTCTCAGTGTGTAGACAAGAGGATTGAGTAACGGAGTGATCACAGTGTAGGTCACTGCTACAAACAAGTCCTTGTTTGAAGAGTATAAGGATGTGGGCCTCAAGTAGATAGAGGAGGCACAGCCATAGTGGACAATGACCACTGTGAGGTGGGAGGCACAGGTGGCAAAGGCTTTACGCTGTCCCTCCACTGAAGAGATCTTGAGGATGGTGGAAACAATGAAGATGTAAGAGATGAAGATTAACACAAAGGGAACCAGCAATACCAAAATGCTGAGGAAGAAGATGACCATTTCCTTCAGATTGGTGTCTGTGCAGCCCAGTTTTATGACAGCGGAAATGTCACAGAAAAAGTGGTTGATCTGATTAGAGGAACAGAAGGGCACAGTGAACACCAAGATGTTGACAACAACAGAAATGAGGAAACCACAAATGCCGGAGGCTAGAACCAGTTGCACACAGGTGGCTTTGCTGACGATGAGTGTGTAGTTCAGGGGGCTGCAGATGGCAACATAACGGTCATAACCCATCACAGCAATAAGAAAGCAGTTTGTACAAGCTAAGCCCACAAAGAAATAAAGCTGGGCAGCACATTCAGAGAAAGAAATACTTGGAATTGTAGATAGTAGGTTGGCTAGCATTTTGGGTACAATGACCAAAGTATAGCAGGTTTCAGAGCATGAAAGGACAAAGAGGAAAAAATACATAGGGGTGTGCAAAGTCCGATCCAGGTGAATGACAGTCATGATGGTGACATTGGCCATCAGAGTGGTCAGGTAGACTATTAAGAAGATAAAGAAAAGAAGTATCTGAAGGTCCCCCAGGTTTGAGAAGCCTATTAGGATAAATTCAGTAATCATACTTTGGTTCTCTCTCTTCATTGATCAGTGGGGACAAAATTTAGATGACCTGAAACTAAGAACAGATAATTTGGAAGAAGTGAAATGCCTCCAAAGTAACCATGTCTGTGGCTGTGTGCAGTAATGATACTATTTGTCTGAAATAATGAGTAATAAACGTATTAAGACCATAGAGGATGGAGGAAATTACGAGACATGAGTATTGATACATAGAAAACCAAATCTACAAGTATCTGAAGAAACTTGTCTTTATTTTTATGCTGTTTCTGTTCTTTGCATTCCTAAGTTCAGGGAAGGACCACACTGTGTTGAATTAGGAAGTGATTTAGAGGTCATCTTATCTAATCCTTCCACTTTATGCAAAAAGAAACTGACTCTCAAAAAGATTAAAGATTTTCATAATACACTTGAGAGTGGGAATGCTTAGAAATCACTTATTAAAATCTTATCAAATAAAAAACAAATGAAAAGTGATTTACATTCTCCTCAGGTATTGGCTAAAATACTGCCTGTTCAGTTGTAATTAAGTATTATCAGAAGTTCAAATGTTCACATTCTATTTACACAGGGTCAGTTGTGGTGCCTTTCGGGCTTTTGCATAGTGGGGTTTCTCTTTTCCTGAGTGCATGGGCATCTTGGATTAAGAATCTAATTAAAGCTCAAATTATTCTGAGAGCATTATGATGATTAGTCTGAAATCTCCATCCTTTTGGCCCCTATTTCAATCTCCATTGTCTCCATAACTGTTCTCAGAAAAACTCTCAGCATTATTTGCAGGAAGATCTAATCTGAAATTACCAGGGTTAGACCATCAGGCAGTATTTACATTAAAAATAGATCAGAAATCTTCAAACTCAACCTGCACCCAATTCTTATAACTTCTTTACAACAATATAGGAAGTATTGCCCAATCTCTGTGGTTGAAGGACACATTATAAGGAGTCCACTGCACTATAAATCAGGATGCTTGCTTTATAAATAGTTTACTTGGATAGAACCTGAGACAAATCAGGCCTCCTTGGAATATCTATCTATTGTCATTGATTTTTACTCACAGATACTCGTAGAAAATTTAATTCCTTTTTATTATTATTATTATTCTTTAGTTAATAGAATAAAATGGTCATGTCCTTTTAAGGGTTTTATTTTCTTCCTAACATTCTTAGCTTTATTTCCAGTCTTACTCGTAATGTTGTTTCTGGAAGTTTCTTTGTCCTAAACACCATTTTAGGTGTTTTAGTCCTGAACAGTAGGTCTTACATCTGTCCCTCAGCTATAGACAAACTATCACACATAGCTACTGTCTCTCCGCTTCTACACACAGCATTTATTTCCTTTTCCACTGTACTTTATCCCTCACAATTAATATTTTCCTGGCCCACAAAATCCTGGCTTACCTCTTATCTCTTGAAAGACTTTTCTGGATACCTCATTATGACTTTGGTTGCTGTTCACATTTACATCACTGTCAGTTGGTTCTGGGTCAATTATTGGAATGTCAGGAAAGTGAGACTGAGAAGGATATAAGATCTGGAGTCAAACTCTCTAGGTTCTGCCTCTTTCTGACCTTGGGGTTATCAAGTCTTAACAATTGTGCCTTATATTTTCATCTCTGAGATGGCAACAATAATACTATGAATCAAAATACCACAATAAAGTTTATGACCCATAGTAAGTATTCAATAAATGTTCACTGTTAGTACCTAGTTCAACTCCCTCATAGCACAGATGAATTAAAAGGTAAAGATCTAGGTTGCATAGTTCTTTAACAGCAGAGATAAATTCACATTCCAAACTTTCTAAACTTTCCAGTCCAAGGCTTGGTCTTCTGAATTACCTGGACCTTATTTTTTTATTTTCTTTCCACTTTGTGCTTATACACTAACAATTAGGACATAGATCAATGTCTTCTTTACTGTGTATGATCTTCATGAAGAGTCTGCAACACTCTTCTGCCTATATCCTATTCTTTTACTGCTAAAATAAATGTACCTCTGCTATAATAAATGTTTATCTGCTGTTCGTGAAGTTTCTTTGTATTTCATAGATTTTAGGTGTATTTTAGAATATTTTGTAGTTTTACATTCTTTTAGTCCTCCTCTAACTCACTTTCTCTCCTGTCTTCACATTGTATGGCTTAGTTCTCAGTTCTCTCCATATGGTCTCATCCCATCTTCTACCCTAGATCCACCTCACCTATAGAAAAACTGTCACACATAGCTCACCTCACCTGTGCATGATTTCTATCACTTCGTCTGCCTCTGAATCTCTCTGTGGTACATACAGTATTTTTAGAGAGGACTGACATGATATTACTAATAAGAAAGAGTGTTCCTGTTATATTAGTTCAAAGGAGACACTTACATTCACAGGCAGAGTTTTACATCTGCATCAGGTTCTTTCTATATCTCATCTAGATCTAGAAAGGAGAAATTGGCAAAATTTTGAAGACTATCAGGTTTCCATTTTCTCTCAGATCTTGTTTGGTGAAAGTCTAGGGATCATGAACCTTTGAAGATAGAAGATAGATCTGCCTAATTGCTGGGCAGGAACTAACTGGACAACCATGATTTTAGTAGCTGTGTCCCTGATGGCATATACTCCAGCAAATCCCTGAACCTTATAATAGTTGGGACACCCAGGGGAATGAGGCTTTGGAAGGAGGTCCTTCTTTTATTCTAGGCATTTAAAGCATGTATATTCAATCCTTAAAAAAAGAAATAAATCAAATAAATTATCAAATAAATTCTACACTTGATCTGTGTAGAGTATGGACAGTGTTGAATATGATGATTTTTTTTGTATAGGTTTTTCACTTTGAATCAATGTTATATTTGCTGCAATTGAACTATCACTCTCTCAATCATTGGCCTTACAGATTCTAGGTATATGTTGACTCATTTGAGGACTTGAATAAATGGCATTATTGACAAGTTCATACAGTTTCCCCTTCCTCTAAAAATTTGTTAATTGAATTAGGTAATTTTTCTTTAAGTCTCCCATCATACATATCTGTATCTATACCTACCTGTATCTATATATTATATGTATGTGAATATATATGTTTTGTTTGCATTCTTATGGGGTACATATGGGGCTGTGTTACATATTCCTCTACCTGCTAGATTAATCTCTTCAAATGCATTCGTTAATGCAAACTTTATCTATGCATCTATGAATTCATTAATGTAATCAACATTCATTGAGTACCTACAATGTTAGAGGCACTCTGGTGAATGTTTCGGCAGGAAAGGTTGTATGAAGATGAGAATTATAAGGTCTATGTTGATGGTGGTTTATGGATCACTAACACTTGAACCTCTTGAAGCACATGCGAATATGCATATTGTTGAGTTCTGCCAAGGAACCTCTGACTAAGCAACATTTCAGGTAAGGCTTGAAATGTTCATGTGATTTCTTTCAAGAATATTGGTTTCTTTCTGAAAAAGAGTTTGGTATTTAGAGGTAGATAAGAAAATATAAATGGATAATTACAAAATGCCAAGAGATCTCACATAAGGACAAACACAGGGCATGATAGCATTGTTGAGAGGGAGTACAGTTCTCCTATCCCTTGTCAAGATTAGTGGATCTCTTGCTTAAAAAACTTCCTTTATGTTTATCCCATACAGAAAACTCTCTTTTTGAAGGATTCTGAGACTTTGTTTATTAGGCAGGGAAAAAAGCATAGATTTCTTCTGTTTTAACTCCCATTAATACATGTTTCTTAACTAATATGTGTGCAATATGAACTAATACAAATAAATTCTCATGGCATATCATGATTTCATTGTTCCAGTGATAATATGATTTCCCAAGACAAAGAGGCAAGAGTTATGTAAATTGATGGATTGTTTTAGAGAACAGAGGGCTGAAGGACAGCAAAGCCTTCCTTTTTATCCAGTGCTCATATTGCAACTCTAATATTAGTAGTAGTTTTTTGAACACCAACTAGGAAGCCATCATAATCCATTTATTAGCTTAATCCTATTAATTTTCATCCATGTACTCCTCTCAGATCAGACAATGTTATTATTTTACTCAAGGAACCCATGGAAAATCCATTAGTGGTGCTGAGCTCAAGGAGTGAAATCAGAGGTTAAGGAGCTGGAAGAAACTATAACTTGTTGGGGGAGGGTTGATTTGGAGTAGGAGTCCCTCAGATATTCATATAGGTACCTTTTCATGATGATTTGAATGCTAAGATATTTAAGAATAAATAAGAAGACAAGTAGGAAATGCTTCTTTACAGAATACTTAACATTTCTAGAATCTTATGGGATAGGGAGATTTTTAGTTCCAAAAGCCAAGGAAGAATAACAGTCAATTTGAAGAAATAGTAAATATTCAAAGTGAAGCTAAAAAAGGACAAAAGACTTTAACAAATAAAGAGAATCTCAGTAACTGCTGGAAAGATAGGAAGAGATTAAAATACACTGATGTGGTGACCTACATTTCTAATCCCAGTTACTCAGGAGGCTGAGGAAGGAGGATCACAGTTTTAGGCCAGCCTGGGCAACTTAGCTAGACTTTGTTTCGTAGAAATAAAAAATGGCTGGGAATGTAGTTCAGTGGTACAGTGCTTGCTTAGCATGTGCAAGACCCTGAGTTTAATACCCAGTATTAGAAAAAAAAAAAAGAAAAGAGAATGAAGGGAGAGAAAAAGCCTAGAATATGATATCCATTGAAACTGTCCCTCAAAAATAAAGATATAAAAATGGAGGTTAGTCTGGCCCAAAAGACCAAAAATCATATGTTCTCCCTCATATGTGGACATTAGATTAAGGGCAAACACAACAAGGGGATTGGACTTTGACCACATGATAAAGCAAGAGCACACAAGGGAGGTATAAGGATAGGTAAGACACTCAAAAAACTAGATAGCATTTGTTGTCCTCAATGCAGAGAAATTAAAGCAGATACTTTAAAGCAATAGAGGCCAATAGGAGAAGGGGACCAGGAACTAGAGAAAAGGTTAGTTTGAGAAAAATTAATTTAGAAGGTAACACACATGTACAGGA